CTTCCATAGCCCAGGGGGTTCCTGCCCAGCCAGGCTGGGTGAGGAGCAGCTCGGCCTGGGCAGGGCAGGAGGTGCCTGAGGGAACATTGAGGGAGAAGCTGAAATGCTGAATTTCCTGTTCACTGCAGCCTCTGCCTTGTGCCTCTCACTGCAAAGCAAAGTTACAGAGAAGAACCCAGAGTGTTCATTGCAGTTCCCCTGGCACAGTGAATCCCATCTGGTTTAACACCAAAGAATTCTGGAATCGCTTTGGTTGGGGTGGACCTTTGTGGGAACCCTGGCCTTGCTCTGGGGTCCCATGTGGTGGTGAAATTTCTCCTCCAACCCATGCTTTCAAAGAAAAACTGCACAGGCTCTTGCTGTTCGGTCTCAAGGCAGTTTATTGTGAGTTACCTAAAAGATTTTCTCCTTGGGCTGCTGTGGTTTGCTCACAGCTCAGGCAGAGGCACACACACACCCTGACATCCTCTCTGACTTCTTCTTCTTCTCTCCCCGCCCAGGGCTGCTGCTGTCTGTTATATGGTACATTACGTGTGACATGTTTACAGTTTTTCCCAATGCCCATTACCTATATTAAATGGTGATTTTCTATCTTTTATATGGTACATTACGTGTTACGTGTTTAAAGTTTTCCCCCAATACCTATTACCTATGTTACAAGGTGCTTTTCTACTCCAAACCAATCTGTGAGTGCCAACATCACCAAGAACATGGAGGTGAGGAAGAAGAAGGAGGAAGAACAGGATCAGCCCACTTTCCTCCATCTTAGAACTTCTGACCCCCATGTACAAAGTAAAAACCCCCCTGGACAGGCACTAAAACCCCCCGTACAACACTAAAAAAATTTCCCCCCTACTTTGTAACTACATTTACTATACTATTTAACCTTTTGTGACTGCTTGTTCCACCTTCAAAGCTGGTAACTCATCCCATGGCTCAAACCCAAAATCACAGCTGTTTGCAGCTGCCTGCCAGGGTCTAAAATGCTCCTGACCAAGGCATGGAACCTCTAAAGATGTCTGAGGGACATTTGGAGTTCCAGCAGACCTTAGAGCTGATCTGGCAGGGCGCCTGCAGCAGCCCAGGTGCCCACAGCGTTTCCTCCTGTGCTGTGGTGGTTGGGTCTGAACTCGGAGCAGAAATCCGATTTCTGCTGAGGACGTCGTCCTGCACCGCCTGAAACATCCTGTTTTCTACTGCTCCTCTACCACAGGGGCCTTTTGGCTCTCTTGGCGTCACTGCGGCTTTCAGCTTGCAGAAAAATTGCCACAGTGCCCTTTGCAAAGAGGTGGAGAATAAAAAAAATACGTATTTATATTTTTGCTGGCTGGATTTTTGCTGTGTGGGCTCTTCTGAGACTTCAGTGCATCCAAAACCAGGAGAGACTGCTCCTTCCCTCTGTTTATTTTAATTTGTGTACAGTCCTAATTTTTTTAATGTTCGTTTTTTGCAATCTTGGCTCAGAAAGAATTTAAAAGAGCATTTTTTAAAGATTTTGAGAAGTAAGATTTTGAGAAGTAAGATTTTGAGAAGTATTTTTCTACATTTTCCCAATTAAAAAAAAAACCCGGGATGTGTCTTTCTGTGGCCTGAAGGTGATGCTGTTTCTCTAGGAAAAAATACTGGAAAAGCCATTGGGAAGTCTGGTGGGATATACCTGTTTTAAAATTCAATGTACACCGATTTTTGCTCTTTGTCTTGGCAAGTTTTCGTTAAACCTTTGGAAGATTGAGTTGTGTCTGAGCACCACCTCAGTTTATTAAACCTTCCAGTATGTCATGGATCAGCACACTCAAAATAAAAGCCAGTAATTAATTTTTAAAATAATAATAATAATAATAATAATAATAATAATAATAATAATAATAATAATAATGGCTTCAGAATTGTTTTGTCTCCCCCCATCAGAGGTTTGACAAAGCCTTTACCTTGTCGAGTCTCTATTCTAAATATCTACTAATAATAGATATTTAACAACAGACAAAAATAGCAATAATAAATATCTAAAATAGCAACCATCTAAAACCAGATAAATATCTAATAGTAAATAAATATCTAGCACTAGATAAATATCCAAGCACAGGAAATACCTCACAACAGCAAACGCCCTGGGACAGTGAAAGGTGTCCCTGCCCATGGCAGGGGTGCAATTAAATTATGAAATGATCATTGAGTTCCCTCTAACCCACACCTTTCTGCATCTCTATGATTCTGTGACTCTTTAACCCAAATTCTGGGCGAATTTGTGACACCTCAGTGAAGCAAATGAAGCTTGCAGGGTTTGCAGCCAGCGGGCAGAATCTCTGGTGATTTCAACTCATTAAAAAGAAAAAAAACCAGTGCTGAGTTAAAGACCATCAAATGCTTTCTGGGGCTAGTAAAAACTCATAACTGCTCTGGTTTTGGGGTTTTTTTTGGGGAGGTTTTTGGGGTTTTTTGTTTGGTTGGTTTTTATTTTTTTGCTTGGTTTTTTTTGTTTGTTTGTTTTTTGTTTTGTTTTGTTTTGTTTTATTTCTCAGGTTACTCTGTTTTAGAGTAACTTCAGTTCTGTGCTGCCAGGCACTGACCCCAGGAGAACACTGCACTGACCTGAGGCCGTGAAGAAGCTTCCAAAATTCAACAATAAAACTGAAATTACAGGTGTAGAGTTGGAATGGAAGTGTATGATAGCACAGGGTGGAAACTCAGAGTTGAAGGGTTTAGAATGCAGGAATAGATATAAAGCAAGATGGAGGTTTTAGGGTGGAGGCTGAACCTTCTCCTTCTCCTTCTCCTTCTCCTTCTCCTTCTCCTTCTCCTTCTCCTTCTCCTTCTCCTTCTCCTTCTCCTTCTCCTTCTCCTTCTCCTTC